CAGTGCAACTGCCTTAGAAATGGGTAATATTGAAGAAGATCTCTGGAAGGTTCTTCTGTCCCTGTCCCTTTCAGACTTTTAGTGATAATTCAGAAATAGGTAGATCTGTACTTACAATTATTTACTCACAATAGTTTCTTGATTACATTTAAGACTAGCTGGTTGCATCAAAGTGCATGCCTGGGGCGAGCTTTATTACATCTTTCCCTTACAGAAAGGGACAAACTTTGAGGAAATGTATGTTAGATTTAAGAACTGTCTGTGTTAGTGATTTGTCTTATCCAGAGCTTTTGTAAACTTGATAAACACAGCCTTCAGTTAGGGGTGGCACAAAGATATTTCTTACCAAAGCAGAGATGGAAAGACCATGATTTTATAGGTCTCCACTTCCTGCACATACTGCTTGAAAGATAAAATACCTTTGTATTTGTCTGTAGACACCATGAAGAAAAAACTATTGAGAAAGATAAAAGTGAAAACCATGTCTTTCTGTTGCAAATGTTTAAATGGATTCCAAGAAGTCCTCATTTTAGGATAAGGTCTTCATTGGCACACATAGGAAAAAACCTACATTTCCACTAATTCTAGTTCTGAATGATTTAGACTAGCCCTCAACTCCTTCCATCGTTGTTTAAGGGTGTACAAATAATAGAGAAGTGTATCACACAAGCTCCACAAATAATAGAGAGGTGTAGCACATCCACAGTCTTTTTTGCCTAAGTGACACCTGAAAGGCTTTCCACCCATTGTACTATCTCAGGTCAAATGTCTACAGCCATCCTAAGCATGTCCAGTAATCCCTGCTGCTGCAATCCTTTATTGCTGCTCTGGCCCAAAGTACCACCTCTATCAACAAAAACAGAACCAAACATAACAATATACCCATTCACTGGATGGTAAATAATCTATGAGGTGAAGCAAGAAATTATACCTGTTTTGAGGGGAATGCTACTGCTATGGGAAAGGACTCTATTGAATTTTGATTCATTACTCTAACAAAATTTACATTACTCTAACATTAATTAAATTAAAATAACATTACTCTAACAAAAATTACTCTATTGAACTTTGACAAGTACTTGGCATCTATTGCTTGCTTATAATTCCTGGCTTAAGTGCCCCCTCTGAAGTGAAATGCAGCTACAGCACACTGTAATGTGGGTTGGTTTGTTTTTTTTAATATGTTCCATCAGTCAAGGAGTTTTCTAGTTTAAAATATTTTGTCAGTTACTCAGCTATCGGTTTTCAACTTCATCAGTGTTAACTTCTTGCTACAGTCCAGTTACATAAATTACTAATTGATCTGCTTGATGATAGTCACTAAAGAACTTTCCCACTACCACTGGGAAGGGATTGAGGCAACAAAAGGCACCCACCTATGTAGGTATTGTCAGCAGCAGAGCTTCATCTAGCACTTTATTCCAGTATCTCCTCTACTGACATTAGACTCTTCAGATTTCTTTATTGCACCTGAAAGACCTTATTTTCATTTAAAAACTTACTATCATGCCTCGTGATAAGAATAAAAAATACTAATACTTACAATTTAATCTCAACTTTTAGGGTGTTCCCCTTGCATTCACTTTTAATATTGCTAGCTCACGTATTTTATTGGTGTGAGGATATGCCCTCAAACAAGTTGTTTGTTAGACTTCACCAACTTCACAGAAGAAATTATGGCCATCTGCTTGAAGTATTTGCCTCCAGAGCTCAAAACTTAAAAGGAGTTATAGCAAAATCATGGGGAAACTCAAGTGACACTGAAAATCAGTAATACAATACTGTGATGTACTGACCCTCAGCATATAAATGTCATATACCTTCCCATCATTTTTTATGAATTAGCTATATCTGGAAAAGCTGCCAATGCTTAAATTTCCAAAGTTTTGTCAGCATATTCTGATGTGAAATGAGACAGGAGAAATAAATCTGTGTGACTTTTAATAATCCTTTGGTACTGAAATGGATATTACAGCACAGTAGATTTGTTGCTTCTTGTTAAAGTATCTTGCCTCCCTATTAACAGCACTTGCTATGAAGATTTATTTTCTTGATGATGTCAGAGAAAAGGAGAATTTTCCTTTACTTTGTTTTACCAACAACAAACCCCATATTTACAAATGTACTGCTTTGTATATCCCTCAAAAACAATTGCAATGAAATTATTCAAATTTAAAATTCATTCTGTTTTAAATTGTCCATTCCCATACATAAGTCTCATGTAGGCCATGACTATGCACTGTGTGAAATATCTCTTCTCTCAAAGCAAACAAGGAACTACTCAAGATGTCTTCACTCTATGCAGCACCCCAGCTGTAAGCCTTTATTCAATAAACACTACTAGAAATAAATCAGAAATAAGCAGAGCAGCAGCAATGCAGACATCAAATATTAACAAGGCTGCAAGGGAATCCCTTCCCCAGAATGAAGGATGGGACAGTGCAAGTCTCCATCTCCAAATATTTGTTAGGGTGGAGTGAGAAAGAGTGGTGCATTTCCGTTTCAAGGATATTGATGGAGCCCAAGCAATGGTTATGAGAGAATAGAAGAACCAGAGCCACTATTCTTTTTTTTTTTTTTTACTGCAGGTGTTACAAAAGGGGAAATATAACTGTTTGTAAAAAGGGTTGAAGGAGGAACAATCTCTCCACCCACCCAGTCACCCAAAAAAATAAGATAAAAGGAGCAGCGGGAGCTGAGATACAGGCTGAATTAGTGAGGTTGCCAAGTACTGAATATAACTTCTTCAGCCCCTTTATTCTTTCATCCATTGTAAAGGACAAAAGGGAGACCTTTGAGACATGGAGAAGTTATCTCATAGCTGCTCAGCACATGGCAAATCAAGCACTGAGTCAGCTTTGTGCAACCTTTCCACAGCCCTTCTTTTCCACTGCTGTCTTTCACCTGAAGTGGCCCAAAGACCCTTAGCTGCAGTTTGCAGCCAGTCCTGCAGAATACACAATGCATTTACATATTTCAGAATTTAAAAGAAACAGTATTGAATTTTAAAAGGTTTGGTTGGGGTTTCTTTTTTCCTTTCTGTTAATAGCTTTTCCCCTTCCAAAATGACTCTTTTAATTTTGCAATCTTTTTAGTAAAAATTACAGGATAGCTGTTTTTTTTCTCTAGAAATTATTTTGGCATTACTGTTTAATCCTTGATAAAACTAGGCAATGTGATTTTGGGTTTTGTTGTTGTTTGTTTGGGGGTTTTTGTTTTGGTTTTTTGCATTTTGTCTGGATGGAGAGGTGTAATACAGCTCTAGCAGTCTCTGTGCAAATCCATAACAGAAAAGAATGCCTTTTAAAACATAAAAGCATTTAGTAGCATGAAAGTACAAATACACCCTGAAAGTAAGTTTCTTTCAGCAGTTCTACAGGCTGTTTGTGACAGCCCAGCTGCAAGCCTTTTATTTTTCTCCTGAAGCCTTAAAAAAAAATGAAATATAGATGAAGGTCACTTTTTATTACATCTCCCCTCATTGTGAATGGGTTTATTTCTTTCTGCTTTTACTGCTAAGAAACTGACAGTCTCAGCAACAGAGATAGTAAAACACTCGTATTTCCCTTACTGTATATGATACACTGTAAGATTTTTAAATTATGGGAAAGACAGTGAAGGGGGCTCTTGATTCACCAGAGGGTACATTTAGGAAGAGATACAAAAACAAACCTTCACTTATCCTCTAATATTTTCTTAAGGACTCACATGAAAGGAAAGCAACCAAGAGCTGAGATACCAGAGTGACTGCAAAGAAGAAATGTTCCCTGCCTGGGAAAAGGAACCTCCTACTTGTCTTCGCTCCAGAGCCATCTACACCTCACCAGAAAGCTCTGAATGCAAATCAGCTGCACCTGCACCTTCTGCTATTAAGGTTAAAGCCAACATCTCTCCATTCCAGAACAATAGGGGTGCATGCTTAATGTAGGCACTTTATTTTATTTTTTTATTCTTTTTTACAAGAATTTTCCCAGTGAAGTTTCACTTCTTTTTTCATGTGCTCCTGGAGGTCTATTGTCCATTGCATAGGTATGCTCAGAAGGCGTTTGTGTTTGTGCCTCAGAGGGGTAACTTAGACCCTAATAAAAAGCTAGATCTTTTTTTAATACTCCTTTTTTGCTTTCCTTGGTGGCATCATGGAAAAATTTCTCCCTTACAGACATATAAATAGTATAAAAAACCTGACATAAACCCTTTCACCTTTCTTTATGATTAAATCATGTTTTCTTCTCTCAAATACAGGAAAGAATCAATAAAAAATTCAAAACTAGAGTTATAATAAGGAAAGTACCCAAATGTAAATAAATCAAATAGAAAGAAAAACAGATTCCTTCCTCTCTTCTGTTGATTATAAATGACACAGTTCTGGAAAAGGAAAGACAGTCCTGAATAATAACAGCAGCAGCAAAGTCCTGGAGGGCTGAATATATATAATGTTTATATTTGTATGCACATGGTTGCAGTGCCCCAAATGCCTTGACAGGGCACATCTGATGGCAGTTGTTACAAAAGGCTAATAGTTTAACTGCATTTACATACTGCAAAAGATACTATAAATATTTAAAATAACAACAGAGTGCCTTTTCAACCTTTGAACTGCTTAATGCATCATCATGAAAATCTTTCGCATGACTGGCAGAGGTTTCTCCAGTGCTGAAAGTGGCTGAGTTTATATCTCTGGTGTTAAGAAATCCAGCTAAAATATACAGAATGGAAAGTGAGTACACAGAGCAGCATAGGAGATCTCCTGTTGTGGGTCTGCTAACGACATCAGATGCTGAAAAGTGCAGCAAGACTCTGAGAAAAAGAAAACCTAGAAGAGTTGAATTTAACAAAAAGTGACTGCAAGTATCTAATAAGTATGCTTTCTGTTTCCATAGCAACTTGCATCAAAGAAATGGAAAGCACTTTAAACATCAATCAATTTACCCTCAACAGTACCATGTGGAAGGCAAAATATATATTAGAAGAAGTAAAATTGCTTCCTGGTGATTGCTGGGCTGTATTTTAGAAGTCCTTTTTGCTACCGCTGCACTAACTTCCTCATTAACATTCAGATTTTCAATCTGTCTTTTGCATGTTCTCTCACACAGATTGTTACCCAAGAGGATTGATCAGAGACGTTGAGATAAAGAGTGAAGATCTTGGGAAGTAATGAATTTAGCTATTACTGAACACTAGATCAATACAGCAACGTCTAAGCAATCTTATCTCCTGTAAGTCATCACTGCAAGAAAGCGTCTGCAATGGCAGATGCCAGAACAACAGTGGCCTCTTTCATCAAGAATTTTGCCAAAGGACTTGTACAAAACCCATATTTTGGCTCTCTATACTAGGTAGGTACAGAATGCATGTAATTCCCAGTGGATAGGAACCATGACCCAGTATGTACCTGTAAATGATGGGTGGCTTTAAAATATTTTAAAAATTACTTTATAGTATCAGTATGTCTGGAGATAAAAGAGAAACCTAGCAGATCTTCTGTTAGTATGTGTGACATGCCTGTCCCCAACAGAAGAAAATAAGGTCAGCCTAGTTTATCCTGCTCTTGAATTTTAGGAGTTGGGGAATCTAAAGCCTGAAAAATTTTTCTGCTCTGGAGCCCACACAGACTGAAATTGAAATGGTCATCTATTGGCAAAAAGTTGTGGTAAATCTTTGTGCTTTCTTTTATTACTCAGATGGCTCGGCTGGCTGGAATGAAAGTGAAGATGACAGACAGGATTTTGGTCTCTGGAGAGAGAAGATCTCACTGTAAGACTGGATGTTGCACGATCTCCACCACTAAGGACAAGGTTAGAGTTGATTATGACCAATACATTACCTCCCTTTCACCATCTGGTTAGGTTTCTTTGCTAGAGAGAAGGTTAGATTTAGATCACATGAGTCTAAAGAGTAATGAGAAGCTTTTTCCTTGTGTTTTGAATGGCTCTAAGAGTTTTTGAGGACTACGAAGACGCTTTCATACAGTACTTCACATCCACTTTTCCAGAAGAAAGGGGTCCTCTAAGTCAAGCTGACAGCTAGTGTTAGCTGTTGGGATCTAGCAGTTTCAGCTATTGTCTGACTGGCATTTCAGAGTTCAAATGAAAGTAGATGCCTCTGATGAGCAGTATTTTGATGGGTTTACTACTCACAATGGAACTCTGGGATAGAATGAATTTGACAGTAAGCATTAGGGCTTGTATTTTTAAATCTAAAAACTAGAGTTCCTTTTTCCCCTGTGTGCTAAATGACTCTGATTGCAAGAAGGCAGGTGTGACCCTCAGTAGTCACTGTTTCAGAAAAGATGGATTCCCTTGGCTAGAACGGAAAGGTAAAAGTTAGGAATGGTGTCAGGATTTGCTAATCCAAAAAGTTGTAGATCTTTAGAGAGGCAGAAGTTTTGTATCAACTCTATGCAGTATGAGATGATATTTTTTTTTCATTGCTGGGGTAGCTGCCCCATATTTAATTACATTAAGATTTAGGACAAAGTAATATAAAATATAAAATATCCTCTTTGCTGAATGATAATGGGCTTGAGAGTAGGAAGAGGGAAGGTATTTCTTAAGTCACATACCTTAAGTACATATTTTCTGAGGAGATGGAACCCTGGGCTATAATTAAGGTTAGAGTTAGGGCTACTGGTTGTATGTCAAAAGCAGAGATCCTGACTTAATGCTCAGTGCTGTATGTCCCATGGTGAGGAACTGCACTGCTGCTGTCATTTGTGGCTGATTATTAATGCTTCCTTTCACTGCTCAGGTAGCTCTGACAGCAATAATGAAGGCAAGAGCTGGTTAAAGATTCAAAACTCACAGCCTGAAGAAATTATCTCCTTGAACTCTGTGAGCTAAAGGGGTTTTGTTGTGTTCTCCACAGAGCTGCTATACTAAACCGATCATTTTTCAGCAAGAGTTGCCAAACAAACCAAGTTATGCCCAGTATATTAAATCTTGTATTTAAGACTGAATGCATGGATTTAATTCTAAATTAGTTAAAAGTTTAAATAACAAGGCAGATGTCAGAAATTGCTCTCAAAATAAGTAATGAAAGTCACCAGGCTTCTTTTTAGCTTTGAGATTTCTCTGAGCAAAGGAAGGTGTTTGGAGAAAAATGTTTCTCAAGTTATTGCTGTTGAGTACTGCTGGGTATTTGGGTTCCTTGCAACTTATTAGGTCTTGTTCAGGTAGAAGCTTCTTAGCTATGTATACTTCAAGCCTTTGTTTTAATTTTGATTTCAGAAAAAACAGATAATTATGGTTTCAAGGTTTGTACCAGCTTTCAGCCTCTGCTCAATACTAAGGAAACAGAACAATTAATTCCCAAAGACTGAGAGTATGCTGTAACTTATGATTTAGGGAAATGCACTTAAGTTTATGGTATTGTAATATTTAATAGCTTTTTTCCAAAACTGATAAGATTGTCATGTTTATTTGCTTAATTTATATAACACATGAAAATACATTAGCAAGAAATTGAGTTTTCTATGTATGTATCTTTTACTTCAAAGCCATGTTACTATTACGAGCATGTTTATCTTTACAATTAAGGTTTTAGCATATTTGTCCTGAGAATGCCTGGAAACCAACATGAAGGAATAACCAAATGTTCCCAGAATCTACTAATCCTGTCTATGCCTTCATCACCAACCTCAATCACAGAGCACACCCAACAAAGCACAAAGAAGAAAAAATAAAGGAAGCATTCTTTAACTGCTTGCACATATTTTTCATATAAACTATTGCTCTGATCCATCTATAGCACCAAAGAAATGGCTTTGTTCTTCCACTCATAAAAGAAACATTGTCTCAGAGTTTATCTGAATTTATGAGCCATAGATATCACAGCCTTTCAGAAGAGAAACCATTGATGTCACATGCAGTGATGACGTCACAGAAAATATCTCTGCCTTCTGTTGTTGGGGAGATGTACATCCAGCTGCTCTCCTGAGTGATCTGCAGTGAAGATAAGTTTAGGAACTTATCCCCAAGTTGTTTTGGAGAAGTTCAGTTCCAGAAAACCTTTTTTAACTGAGGTCTTGAATATGATGTTTGTTTCATTTGGGTTTTTCTTAAACAGAAAAGTGTGGGTCACTGGAAGACAAGACATAACCTGCTGAGATGAAACCAAATGTTCTGCAGACGAATATGTACATATATATATATATATATATTAAACAAACAAACAGGATATCAGACCTTTTTTGTTATCTCCTGATCTTTTGTTGAGAACTGAACTATGGGCACACTAAGGCAAAAGAACCATCTGTCATAGTTGAGGCTCTGGTTTCGAAACAAAGTAAATATGAAAATAAAATCCTGCAGGGTTCATACCAGACTTGATCACATTTCTACAGGCTTCAGATGACTGATTTCAGCATTCTCTAAAAGCTGTACTATTGGTGAAAATTGCACCACAGGCAATAAGGAAGATCTATGCTGCATTTGCAAGTGAAATGAATGGGCACAAAGCATGCTACACTTTTATCTTTGCAATTCATCATATTAAAACTAATGGCAGGTGTAATTATGTGAGCACCAAAAATAAATAAGTAAGCAAATAAATAAATAGGTCTCAAATTTTCCTAAGTGTTCTGCTTTTCCTAAGCATAGTAAATCTATGGGTTGGAGAGGAGGTTGAAATTGTCCTTACAGCTGAAGATATTTTGGGAAGAAAGTGCTAGTTAGGAAAACTGCTAAGTTTCCTTATCAGTGCTAAGTTATCTGTGTTAAGATTCTCTTATCACAGAGAGAAAGGAAGAAACAACAGAAAAGGAAGGAAGGAAGGCAGGAAATACATGACTTTACTGTCAGCAGTTTCTCAGTGTGTAATAATTTTTGACAGAATAAGCCATACCTCTCTAGTGTATTCCAAATTCAATTTTGTTTTTTTACAATTTGAGTCAACTGTATTCCAGCTGCAAACATTGTGACAATAGCACGTTATTTCCCAGACTGAGGCTGACTACTCCATGCTACATTAGTGAACAGAATAAAGTCTTCCAAACATCTCACTTAAAGCTGTATCTTCTTGGTACTGGCTTTTGCACTCTGTTCACACTGAGTACAAATTTAAACAGCATATCTTCCTGTAGTCATTGGAGGTCCTGAAATAGCAACTGCTATGAGGGATGGGCTCCCTTCCTTCAGAGAAAGGGAAACAATATCTTCGAAGTGGAAACACAAATGTAAACATTTCTTTTGTTGTAAAAGGACAATTACTGTAACACCTACATCAAATGAAAAAAGTTATGTCTTTTAAAATTAATTTTCTTTCCCTATAACTATGATTAGAAGCTACAGATTTGAAAAAAATGCCAGTAATCCTGCACTAGGAAAACTGGTTCAGGCAATGGAGCATTTTTTCTTTTAAATTGACTGTCTCTACATACAAAGAACTTCTTCAGAGTGGATACAAAAAAAATTGTGGAAGAGTTTCTGCCACCAAGGAGTTTATAAACAGGAATATTTCACTGCTGCTTTTCTCATGCATAGTATTGTACAGGGAGCAAGCTCCTATTTTTTTCCCCCTATCTGTTGCTTTCCTGGCACACAGTGAATTTTCACAATGAGTGAGAAGCCTGAAGCATGAAGTTACATGCTGCAAAGTGGCAGTGAGAAGAGCCATGTGTCATATTGTGTATCTTGATCACAGTGTTTCTAAAGTAAAAACATTCAGAAGATTCAAGGAGCTATTCTGGCAGGGGTGGCACTGAGCAAGTATCGTCCATGGTCTGTCAGATAAACACAATATTGTTGTGTCAGATCTTCATCAAGACTTCTTCCACACACATATAGAAAATAATTTTAAACACTTCTCCTATCACAGTCAAAGTCACAAGAGATGTTTCCTGTGACTCTTTTTAGACCTTGGGTGTAGACTGAAATCCCTAAAATAGACCATATATTGTGATCCAAAGTTAGCTGAATGCAAAAGATCAGCATTTTGCTGCTTTCTTTTCCTTGTGAAATTCTCTGCACCAGAGCAAGATGCTGTAGAAAGAAATTATGATATTTGAAGGATATGTTTCTGAAAGATGTGATGCCCCTGAAAATATGGTACTACTGCATTTTGGAAGTAAATATTAAAAGTAATAGTGTTTAATATCAGCAAGAAGACATTCTATCTAAAAGATAACAGCACATCACTGCAGAGAAAGGGCTTTAGAATGTTTCGAATATTGGTAGCCATGTATCTGGACCCATAATTTTTCTGGTCTATAAATACATACACCTTTGGAATAAAGATAAAATTTCTAGGATGATAGACATTATAGGCTCTAATGGGTGATCATAACTATGAAATATGCCTGCATCCCAAAAACCACAGAACTCCATATGTTACCAGAAAATACTTCGCTTCTCCAAACTTCAAAATATATATTAAGACAACTATTTAAAATACTAAATATCTTCAGGCTGAGATCTTCAAAGTTCAAGAATCTGTTAGATTTTTCATGCGTAGCAGTTAACACCTACTACTGCAACCAGTAAGTAAAAAGCTTGAAAAACATATTTTTCAATCAAATATGTGTCTGGTATGCTATCATTACATTTCCTGATGCTGCCTACAAATCTGTTTGGTTTTCTTGAAATATATATTTCCACAGTTCTTTCACAAGAAAAATATGAGAATCAAATCTGACCTTTTTTTAAGTCTTAAAGAAACTCAAGAATATTGCTCACCCTGTCAGAACTAAATTAATTACTGCAAAACTTCAATCTGGATAGTAGTTTTCAAATGATGAATATTTACTGGTTGTCAATATATTTAGATGTTTTATGAAAGCAATAAGTTTCAAATGGAGATATAAATAATTACAGTGTTTTCAGTTCAGACTTGTATAAGTTACTTGATTTGAATGCTAAATTCATAAATCTAGTGATGATTCTTTGCTTTTGGATTTAACTTTTTGTTTCCTATTGCTCATCATGGTAGTGAGTATTGCTCATTGGGAACTAAGCTGTGCCTAAATATCTGTAGATGAAGGAATGTAGGAGAGATGAATGTCTTACTTATGGTAACCACCCAGGTTTAGCATTAATCCATAGAATGCAAATTGCAGAGTTAAATATCATCTGTACTAATCATTATATCTGAGGTTGACTGAACTGAAATCAATCTGTGGTATGTTGTGACATATTAGTGTTCACTGTCAGCTTATTTCAGAAGAGAACTCTCACGACATGCTTCTGTCTCACACAAATAACCAGATAGTCTTGTCTATGTAACCCTCACTTTTTATTAATTTTGCTCATTCTCTACTGGTGTTATGACCTTACTAAATAAATACTGACTAAATTAGGACAAGTAAAGGCTGGATTTTTATGAACTTTCTCAATATCTTGTTAATGTGTTCACAGGATATTTTCTAGATTTTCAGCTGATTCAGTAACTGCATTATCTAACTGATCTTGTTGTTTAGGACCATGTTTAGAGATAGCCATACTGGAGTATGACACATGAACCTCATGGTTATGCAAATAACACAAATAATATTTGTTTTGAAGTAGTTTGTAAAAGTAGAAATTGTTGGTGTTTGTTACACATTCACTTTTAAAGGCCCTGGACCAAAATTTCAAAATACAATCTACCTGCTCACTATTAACTTTCTGTAGGACTTGCTGCCCATTAAAATAACCTCTAGATATATATTAGTTCGTCAGGCAATTGCATGCTTCCAAATTAAAAGCAAAGAAATTTTTGAGCACTGCAAACTTTTATACAAAAAAACAACCACACGTAATTGCGTTCTATTTTTGAGTACTTTAAGTAAGTTCTCCCAAATGTCACCGTTTGTTTTAGCCAGTTACTGGCTAAAATACTAATAATACTAATAATGCATAATTAATGAATAATACTAATAATGAATATTAGGCAGCCTCCAGTGTGCATCAGATATGTTAGAAGAATGCAAGACTGGATACACTCCAATGATTTAATTATGTATACAGACAGTAACACAATAGCAGACAAAGGAAGAAATTAATATAATGTCTTTTATGTCTCTCCTTTCTTTTTTTAAAATTTTTATATACTAGTACCAGTGTCTTTCTTCATATATCCCTCCTTACTTGCTGATGCCAAAATATATGGTGACACTCAAAAGACAATAAATGTCGGCCCTGCCTTGCCCAATGCTGCTCTCAGGTCTCCCTGGGAAGAGAGAATGCACTTTGGTAGGGCTCCTGGTGGCTCCCTGAGGAGAGAAGGAAACCTTAGGTGACTGCAGCTAGCCGATACATCCCTCAGTCTGGTGCCCTTACACTCTCCCCCAGCTGCAGCTGCTTTACATTTTCCCCTTTTAGCCCACTAAAGCTCTCAAAAGGCAACTGGTTGAGAAGCCCAGAAACTTGTGTAATATCAGCTCAAGATAAACCTAATCACAGGTGAGCTAGTACTCCTCTACTGCATAAAATCAGGCTGATAAATGAGTTCATCAGGACACCACAGGCTCTTTTCCTACCTGGCACTGGCTGGTGAATGAGCATGACCTGGCATGGACAAGGGCCACTAAGAAACCTTGTCAAAAAGAAGATTCCTGAAAAACATGAACCAAAGTTTCAGGCTCCTCAGAGGATCTCCACCAGAGCCTTTTCAGGCTCTGTCTTTTATGAACGGTGTCAGTGGGTGCTGTGCTGGCATTTGGCCAGTGCCTATGCCTAATGGCTTGGATTGCAGAGCACATGAGTATAGTTAGTGCTACTTAAGGGAACAATAACTAATCAGTTTAGGGAAGAGATGATAATGCTTTCTGTAATCGAATGCGTGTTTTACTCTCTTACCTAATCACATCCTCCTTTTTTCTCAAGAACACAGGAACACTTCACTGGAAGCTGAATGGAGATGAAAATATAAAGTGGAATGAGAGCTGGATTTAAAGCTCATGTATAATCAAGCTATATGAATGAGATGAAGGCTCAGTTCAGTCTCCTCCCCTCTTCCCTGCTCAGCGGGTGCTGACACAAGAGTAGAATTTATTGCACAGTAACTATACCACAATTGCTATTTGTGGTAGTCCCTTTCAAGTTATGACATTAAGAAATAATATTTCAGGGCCAGATGTGTTAGTTAATCCCTCTTCTCCATTCTCCTTCTCCATTTTTGTGAACATTTTTATAAAAATAAGATGGTGAATAAGTAATTGACATAACGTCCTGACCTGGATTTTGAGGGAGAAGTTGTTTTATTACCTGTCCTTCTCTTCCATGCTTTAGAAGGCATGAGTTCAGGAAACTTTAAGAGCACGTACTTCCAGGTAACATTCTGAACTTGCTTTATGAAACCCATTTCAGAGGTTAATCTACAGCAACTCCTTTAATATATACAACAGGAGAAAGCTGTTTTGACTCACTGGTTTTGACTTTGGTGGTCACCTGTGGGACTGTCCATCCTGGAGTCTGCATACACAACATACATACTGTTTGAAGATCTCAAAAATGAAAATTAGGTAGGCCACTGTTTGCTAGCCTATTTTAAATCCAGCTTCCTTCTTTTCAAGGGTTGGAAGGATAGGATACGCAGGTACACGATGGCCATCAACCTGAAAATGTAATAGACAAACTATTTTTTGCAAATATTTTTTGAAAAAAAGCACAAAGTGTTTTTTTTCACTGATTAAAAAACCCAAACAAAAAAATATCCCAAGCACAGAAAAATAATTTTTAAAAAAAAATAACAAAAAACTTAACTTATATGAAATCTTATTTTTCTTTCATCCCCAGAGAAGGAGAAATTCTCTCTGCAGTTCTCTGCAGATCAATTATCTATGAATTAAGGGAGCTTTTATCAAGGGAATCTAAAGCATTAATTGCTATTTCTGGAGCTCCTAAACCCTCTCCTTGTGAATAGTGCGTCACTGCAAAGTACTATTTCTATAGAATCCCTCCCTAATCAATTTGATCTTTGTGACTTTTGTTCAGACCATAAAGAATCAAAAAGGTCTGGCTCTTTTTGACACTCCAGGAAGAAACAGAGGCAGGGAAACATTCAAATTTTAGAAAAATAAATCAACAAAAGGATATATTTTCTTATGCACAGCAGAAACTATCCTGTGAAAGTCACGTGAAGATATAAAATATCCAGCAGACATCAGTAAGAATGGAAAGTTTCCTTTTAATCTTCTTGTCAGGTGGTGTTTTCAATTAGCTACAGATGATCTGACACAACATCAGGTTGTGTGAGTTAAGGGCTCAGTAAACAAGCCAAAGTGTGCAGTGGCATCAGAACTACTCTTAAGGCATAGTCTCCAGACAGCAGGTACACTTCTGAAGGTCAGTGTGACATTTTTATCAGCACAATAGGCAAGTGGGAGCCTGCATCAAGACAAAGAGAAGCATATGAA